AAGTTTAAGCTTACGTTTTGCAATAGCTTCTTCTCTTTTACGGGAAATAGTTTGTCTCAAATCTTCGGTTATCAAAAATGATTCATCAGGTGTTACAATAGGTTGGTTTAGTTTCTGAGGTGAGTCTCCACCAAATAAAATTTCGCTGTCTGTTCTAAGCGACAACTTGTTTGTAAGCAAAGAATCAGGAGTATTTTGGTTTTCGTTTCGATTTTGCTGCAAAAAGTTTCTAATTTCTTTTTTGCCACTCAACATCTCAACTTTTTCCACAAAATCTTGAAAACAAAGTTTCGGATAGCACTGCTGTGCCCAATATTCATACCGCTTAAGAATAACTTTTAAATTGGCAAGCTCATGACCGCGAGAAGATTTAAGTTTTATTCCTTTAAAATAACTGTTTACTTTTGAAATTCCTTCATGTTTTTCATCTAAAAGCCAAGCTTGATTAAGGGGTGGGAGTCTGTTAATAATCCTCTTCTTTTTTTGCTCTGCTGTTGTGACACCTGCCTCCTTGTTTGCAGTAGATGTTTCAAGATCTTCACCAAATAAATCTTCTGCATTGACAGGATTTTCATCAACAACTAATTGATTTTCTTCATCACTGATCATATTAAATAAATAATGAATAACTATAAAAGCGAAAAAATAAATAATACCTGAAATGAAGCTTAAACTGATTTCATTATTTCTCAAAACTTGACAACCAAAACAAAACACCCACCATTTCCTTTTCAATATTATTCACTTACCACTATTACCAATTAAAACCATTCAACTCTCAAATCCAAACACCCCTAACACTTGCCACTGCTATGGTTATTATGTATTAGTTTAAATTACATCAACAATTTAAAAAGAATAATCAAATTTAAGTTCTCACCCTTAACACTTGCCACTGCTCTCACACCCAACCACCCCTAACACTTGCCACTGCTATGGTTAATTTAATTTAAATTACATAAGAATAAGCAAACTTAAAAAAATAATAATAAACATATAACAATGGTTTCTATTTAATACAGAAAAACTAATTTGTATGTAATTGAAATGTAACTTAGATACTTTTGAATAATATCTACTTAGGATACTTTTTTGTTTTCTTAAAAACAAATTGATTAAAATAATAATGTATAAACTTGTAGTATTAAAAAAACAAACATGTTTAAAAACATTAGATATAAAAAACAACAACAATAAAATGAAAATAAATAAAAAACTATATAGTCAGTATATAATAAACAACCGACTTGATAATCTTGAAAACACATTTTCAGAATGAAAATTGTGCATCTTTATTTGCATGCATTCATATGGAGTATGATTCTTATTGCTTGCATAAATTTTTTGTCCAATTAAAATATTTAAAACTTTTTATTCTGAGAAATTCAATTATATACCCTGCTAAATGCATCAAAGATATTAGATGAAAAGTCATGTAGTGAACTCTGTGAAAAAACAGAATCAAGAAAATTGTTCTGACCAGATTTAAATATCTGGTGGAGTTGTTGGTTGAGTAAAGGTGTAATCTTTGCCATTGGAAGTTCAATTTCTTTGAAAAAGGAAGTATGTGCACATGATTCAATAGAAGTAATTGCTTCAGGGTCTAAAAAAAAATTTTAGTATATATACACACACGTTGATCTATATACTCTATAGTATATATATACATATATATATATATATATATATATATATATATATATATATATATATATATATATATATATATATATATATAATGATGCGTGTATATATATATATAATATATATATATATATATATATATATATATATATATATATAATATATATAATGATGTAAAAATGATGTTAAAAAAAATAAGTAAAAATTTAAAAATTGCAATTTTATTAATATATTTTGACAATAACTTTTATTTAATAAATTTTTTATAATATAATTATTATTTTTCAAATATTCATATAATTTCGCTTAATTTAAGACCCAACATGATACGCTCTTAAAGAAATTCTTTTTTGATAATATCAGTACACTAGGTTTTATTGTTTTATAAAAAACTGCAATAATAATGACTGGAAAGCTTTTTAAATTAATGGTGTTTTTGTTTTGATTTTTTATTGTTTTATAATTATTTTAAAACATGCAAGGAGTGTTGCTACATTGATCTTATAGTCTGCTTCTAAAAGGGAGTGTAGAATATATATATACATACATAAATAAAAATAAAAATTTTAAATAAAAATTTTAACTGATTATGGAAAGGTATTTAAGGTGTTATTTTCTATCAAAAAAGAAATATTAAAAGCCAAATTAATTAAGTTTAAAGAGCGCTGTACAGAAAAGCAAAATAAGAAACTTTTTCATGCAGTCATTCTGGGTAACATTGAATTTGCGGATAACATTAAATAAAACCTGTAAATGTTTTTTAAAGTTTTATTTTCTTTGGTAATTTCATGGCCTGTTGCTTCAACGAGAATACAATAAATTACTTTTTTTTTTACAGAAGTTTTACCATAGTTAAATAAATTTTATTTTTCAAAAATGTTTTTATCAGTGACACAGTCAAAAGTGGTGATAACATTGTGTGTTTTTAATTTAGAATATTTTGTATTGTGGTATATATATAGTGAATATTCTGTATTGTATACCAGGTAAACGTTTTTGTAATTTATTAATTTATTAATTTTGATTTTTTCAAATTTTGGTCGCTAGTAGCAGCTTTTGAGTATGCTTCACAATTCATCAAGCAATTTAAAGCACTTTGCATTTTTTATTGTGCAATGGTGCGTGTTAAAAACTTATTTAATCAAAAAGTTCATTTATTTAGCTATTGATATATAGTTTGTTATGCTTTTAAAGAGATTTACTATTTGAACTTTAATTAGTTGTCAATGTTATGCCTTATGGTTTTAATGTAAAATACTTACCAAATACGACATAAATTGGGTATTAAAAGTATTAAATATAATATGTTTTTTAATGCACGCTGCAACACATTGACTATTTTAATCGCCATCTGTCTTGAATTATTGCCATAAAACATTAATTATTGCTTTAATTAATAAAAAGCTGTCTGTAAATTTGTTAAGTGTAAAATCTATAACTATTTTTTAACTAAAAATTTAAGAATTCAGCAAATATCTCTAATAAATGATGTCATTTACCAAATTTCCTTATTAATTAAAAATTTAAGAATTTGTAAAATGTCATTTCGATAGGAGAACAAAAACATCGAATTGATAAACAGCTTAGTAAAAAAGTTCACATTGTTTACATAAAAAGAAAATATTCAGAATATATAGGTGATCAACATCTTTTTTGAATATTTATTATATTTTAACATAAAAATCTTGAATTTATTTGGTTCTCATGCACTCTTTTAAAAAACATTCTTTTGTTTAGCTTCTTATGAAATTTATAGGAAAGTCATAGGACTGATAATAAACACTTATTTAAAAAAAAAAACATAAAAAAAAACAAATAATATTGATTCAAAACAAAAAAATTCTACAATGACATTTACTAAAAGTCTTTGGAATCAAACGCGTTTGAATAAATTATAAAATCTGTAGATTGCGGCATATATTTTAAAGATTTTGAGAGATTTTGTTTGGCTAACATGTAGGCGGTGAGCTTCAAGTAAAACAACAAAGTTTGTTTTTCTTAGTATACATTTATTATTTTGTTTTACTTAAAAAAATTCTGCCTAAACATTTTTTTAATCATTCTCTTTAAAATGAACACAACCTGTCTCGGCACTTTGGGATCTCTTTAAACTTAAAAAGAAATGAAGAAAACACTATATTAAGAAAGCTGATAACTGAACTTTGATGGTAAACATATTAGTCACCAAGAATATCAAGTGTTAGTGATGAAGAATAGACAAAGAGAAATTGCATTACAAATACTCTACCAGACAGAAAAGCAGATACTGTTATTAAAGGTGTAACAGCTATTCTTGATGAATACGATTTATGGAAGACTATAAAGATAATTGTCGTACACACTATGAATGTAAATAGTGAAAAAAGGAGTTAGATTGTCAGTCAGTTATAAAGATGCTGAACTGGAAGAACCACAATTTATTGGTTGTCAACATCATATTATTGACAATCTTTCGCGTAGTAATGGATGAAGAACTTGGAAAAAACAACATCTCGTACAATATTGAATATACATTTATTGCTGAACTTGTAAAAAATTATGAATAGCTCATGAAGATTTTCAAGAACAGCAAAGGAGTTATTACTGAAACAGAGGATTGCATGATAAAATTAAATTTAAATTTCATTTAACTTGGGTTCTTCGCTTTTTCGAAGAATCTGGAGTATTTCCTAAAGTGATGCTCCTAAATTAAATAATGCAAAATGGAATTCCCTAGCAATACTAGCTTGTTTGGCATTTATTCTTCTACCAGAGAGAAGAGACTCACTACTAGGCATTTGTAGATTCAACTTTTACAGATTGGCAGATTATTGGTTTACTGACCAAATGTTCAATAAAGATGATTATTGTAAGCTATGTAGCAGCTTGCATAGTCACAAAAATGTGTTGAGCTCAGTGCAAATGTTTTTGAATCAATAACCATTGAGACTGGAAATTCACAGAACGAATAAGTGTGCTAAACAAGAAATCAAGTATCTTCAAAATCTTATTGACATCTGTAAAAAGAAAGAGACCCTGCAGCTTAGATTTACTTTGTTTAACAAAGCATAAGAATTTTATATTACACTTTAATTAAGCTGAATACTGGACAATATTTTTTCGATATATATATAGTAGCTTTTCATACTATTAGAATTGTTATCTAAGTTATGTAATTTTTTATTTAATATCTAATTTAGAGTGTTATGATGTAACAATAAACTGTTAAATGGTTAAAAACATAATAACTATCCAATTAAAACAATTACAATTAAAAAAATGCTATGTAAACTTTCTTATAAAATTTGTTTACACTAAGCTAAACGCTTTTAAAGAAAGTTTTAAAATGCTGTTATCATAGCATATTAAATAAAACATTTTTTCTATTTCAAAAGTATTTTTTTTTTTAAGCATGAATGTAATTTTTTTAAACATTACATTTTTTTTTTGCTATTTTAGATAAATGAAAAATTGCAAAACAAATGCTTTTTTTAAATTCTAAATATAATTATTATTTTGAGGTCAGACAAGGTGGTCTGGGACATGGTGGTCTGGAGAATTTATTGACTATTATAAAAAATATTTTTTGTTTTCTAGACTGTAATCTATAAAAAGTATTTTGTATTTATAAAAGTTGTACAAAATTATAAAAAGAAAAAAATCAAGGGATATTTTAATTATTCTATTTTGACCTAAAAAAACAATTTATTAACTTTATTAACTAATAATGAGAAATTTTCAGTTTTGGTATAGTTTACTTATATCACCCTACTTATAAATTTAATTTGTTCTTATATAAATTTTAAAAATTTTGCTTTTTCAAACAGTTTAATTATATAGATTATTTATTTTGACTATTTCTTTAGTATTTTAGTTTTTTAATGATTGACTATTTATAAACTAAACTTTTATATACAATAAAAAAAAAAAAAGAAATGAATAAAAAAAAGTTATTAAAAGTTTGCTAACCTTCTTCATATCCAAAAAAGACATCCTTTAAATTATTAAGAATGCTTTGCAAACCAGAAGAAATGCAGTCCTCCAAAACCAAAGCACAACTATCACCACTTAAAGTCTCATTAGTTTGGAACATAAGCCTTCTATAACGTTCCTCTGTATTTGATGTTTCGTTGTTTATCAAATACCAGGAAAAAGGATGAGAAAAATTGACTGATTTTTTTAAATGATTCGACTTTAATTTCTCAATAACATTTTCTGTGAGACTTTGAAGTTTCAAAAATGAAATCTTTTCTTTTAAAGAAACGCTGCCAATAATTTCTATTAAAAATTTGTAAAATTGACATTTATAAATATATATTTATTATTTTAAAAATTTCTATTGCTGTAGATTTAAATTAGGTAAACACACACATATATATATATATATATATATATATATATATATATATATATATATATATATATATATATATATATATATATATATATATATATATATGTGTATATATATACATATATATATATATATATATATATATATATATATATATATATATATATATATATATATATATGTGTATATATATACATATATATATATATATATATATATATATATATATATATATATATATATATATATATATATATATATATATATATATATATATATATATATATATATATATATATATATATATATATATATATATATACAAACACAAACACACATGTATATATATATATACATGTGTATATATATATATATATACATATATATATATATATATATATATATATATATATATATATATATATATATATATATATATATATATATATATATATATATAGGGTAAAGGAAGGTATGTTCGTGATATATGTAATTTCGTGATATTTCTTTCGGCATTTGTAGCGAACATACCTATTAGTCAAAAACATCGAAATTGCGTCAAATGGTACCCGGGGTACTACTGTCGATTCACAAATAGTCGTTGGGTGCGTGTGATACGTCAATTGTTTACTATCAGTTTGTACATTCTTTAGCATTATTTTACTTGCGTTCAGCACATTTGTTTGGAGTACTTGTCCAACATTTTTATTTCCAGACTTGTGTTTTAAGGTAAGTAAATTATTTTTATTAAATATTAAACTAGAAAACATGCTTGATTTAATGGTAAAACTTTTGTTTTTTTATTAACTTCCTATAACTTATGATTCCTTATCGCAGTTACACATTTTCTTAACGTTTTCACCTCAAATGAATTTACATTTTTAATCATGTTTCTTTTATTAAATATAATGACATTAAAAATTGTTTTAAGCACGATATAACTATATAGTTAAATGAAGATAATATCTTTCTCTATACGAATCTGCAAATATTTTTGCAGTAAAGCCTATCACGAAATTACCTACTATCACGAAATTACTTACTAACAAAATTACTACTAACAAAAAATGTCTATTCACAAAGCAGCAAAAATCAATGGAGTTCCATGAAGTTCACTTAAAGATTTTTTGAAACGTGATAATGTTGAATTAGTTGCAAAAATGGGAAGACCATATGCACTTACATCAGACCTTAAAATACAAATATTAAACTATATCATAAAGATGCAAGAACTTGGCTTTGGTTTGACTGTGTTACAGATAAGAAAAATAGCTCACAAAATAGCCACTACAGCTGGACGTGGATCTTATTTCAACGAAGATAATGAATCTGCTAGCAAGTGGTGGTGGGTGAATTTCAAAAAGAGGTATAATCTTACACTTAGAGTTCCTGAAAATCTTGCTGCTTATAGGGCATCGATGGCTAACAGTCATATGATCAGTGATTTTTATTCAAAACTTGATTCATTAATGATCCAATTAGGTATTAAAGATATGCCTGGCCGCCTTTGGAATTGTGATGAAACTGGACTATCTTATGTAGTAAAGCCTAATAAAGTAGTCACTGCTATTGGTAAACGTTATGTTTATAAAAGAACTTATGCTGATCGTGGAGAAACGCATACACTTTTAGGATGTGTATGTGCCAATGGATCATGGATTCCACCTTTAATTATATTCAAAGGCGTTAGATGGAACGATAATCTTAAAGCTGATTGTTTACCAAACTGTATGGTAAAATTATCTCCAAAAGGATGGATTAATAGTGACTTATTTTTGGAATGGTTTAAATTTTTTATTGATTCTATTACAAGTGAACGACCTGTGATATTATTCATGGATTCACATGCATCACGCATTAACATGGATGTTATATTATTTGCAAAAGAAAATGAAATATATTTATTTACATTTCCAGCTCATACTAATCATTTATTACAACCACTAGATGTAGGAATATACAAGCCACTTAAGTCAAACTGGGCCACTAGCTTAAATGACTTTATGAGGGAAAATCCTGGAGAAAAACCAAATCGGACAACTTTTCATACAATATTGAATCCAGCATTTATTAAAAGCTTTTCTAAAAAAAATATAGAAAATGCATTTAAAAAAAGTGGCATTTGCCCTTTAAATAAAAATTCCATTCCTCCAGAAGCAATAGCTCCATCTCAATTGACAAACAGAGAGATTCAAAGTACAGAAATTCAACCACACAGTAATACTGCTATACAAACATTGTTAACTATTCCATCTGTAGAGCCAACCACACCTAACCCTAATAGGCCAAAAAGGGATTCAAGTGCAAAGTGTCTGACTCCTCCTGATCAACCTATTCGATCAACTTCAAAGGACTCTATTTCTGTATGTTCTAAAAAAAGTAAAAAAAATAAAAATGCTTCAAAAGATGATGATTGGGAGTGCGGTGTTTGTAAAAAAAGTTACAACAGTGATGTAAAAAAAAAAAAAAAGGAAAAAAATGGGTGCAGTGTTCCTATTGTTTAGTACCTTATCATGAGAGTTGTCAAACATATGAGGACATTGGTGAAGTATTTATGTGTGATACATGTTGTCAACAAGAATGTGATTTAGAAAAATAAGTTAATCAGATATAAGTATGGTTAATATTATAGTTATTATATTAAGAGTTTTTTGTAGGTCTGTTATTTTATTTTCTAAGCTACCTATGTTAAAAGTATATTTTTTTTATATATAAATATAAAGTAATGAAAGTATTATTATAATTTTGTTAACTTATAAGCCTGACTATATTTATATTTTATGAACTTAAAGTCTGATTGAATAGTTATGAATTCAAAACAAGTGTTGATATTTTTTGTTATATTATACCAGGTGTTATACTTAATTAATAAAGAAAAATTTAAATATTATTGTGTACTCACAAAATTACCTAACCACTATCACGAAATTAAATATCATATCACAAAATTACCTAACTTTTCTCAATGACTTTTGAGCTTTTATAAAAACTTATCAAAAGACTTAAAATCCCAAAACTGCATAGATTCTAGTAACTTTACTCTATGTACACCAAACAATTAAAGTAATTAAGTAAAATTACTGAAATTGACTTTGTAATTACACATCTAGTTAATTTATCACGAACATACCTTCCTTTACCCTATATATATATGTGTGACTTTTTTGAAAAATCAGATGAATTTCCCTGACTATTTTTAACATTTGCAATGGTTTTTATAAAATGTTAAAAATTACTACTGTAATGAAAATGCTAAAATGTACATGCTTAGAATGACAAAACTTATAAAACTTAGCTATTAGTTAAGTTGGATGTTAGTATAGATTTTATTATGCATATTAGTATGGATCTTATTATTAAGGATGACTAAGAATAAACAATAAGAAGTTTCAGGTGAGCTTGAAGAAGAGAGGTGAGACCACCCATATAATATTTAACATGCAACCCAATACAACTTGCTTCATGTCCTTCTGTCTTTTAGGAGATGCTTTTTTAGGCAAAGGCTAAGAGATGCCAACACCCCTTGCTTTGGGGCTCTTGGTTGAGAAAAGGCTGGAGATGGTGTCTTGAGCATGAAAGTTACCAACAACAATGATATTGATTAATGAAGGATAAAGAGAAAGGGCTTAGTAGATTTGATCAGAAAAAACATTGAAAAGAGTACAGTCTAAAGATGAAGGAGATAAAAATATAGAACAAAGAGCAAGGTGATAGAGTAAAGTGATGCTAAATGAAAGGACAAAAAAGAATAGTGGGATCAAACCAAATTTCTCAACAAATGGATGAATTCTTATGAATGTAAATGCCCAGGCCAAGCATGAGATATTGGAGTCTTTACAAATTAAAGAAAGATAACCATCAACACTAAAATCACAAGATGAAACAGCTGAACTCAAATTAATCTCACAAAGAGCATTCAACATCCTAAACTGGAAACAATGTATTATAAATACATCTATGCCAGCCTATTAGATGAAAAAGGGGTATGAAGCAGGTCAACAAATGGAATCTGTTTAGCCCTTA